TTGTTATTACTCCTTCTTGGTTCTGATGCGACGAAAAACAGAGCTGAGCTGGAAGGCAAAGCTCTCGATCTACCGGTCAATCTCTGTTCCTCCCCTCAGCTATGGTCATGAAGGCTGGGTCAGGACCGGACGAACAAGATCACAGGTACAAGAGGCCGAAATGGGTTTTCTCAGGAGCGTGGCTGGCGTCTCCCTTAGAGAGAGGGTGAGAAGTCATCGTGAGGAACTCTGAGTAGAGCCACTGCTGTTTTATGGTTCGGGTATCTGGTGAAGATTAGGGCTGAACGATTAATTGCATTTGCGACATTATCGTGATATGATAAAAAGGGATTTTCTTATCGTAAAGCGTGCGATTATGCTCTGGTCACATGACATGCCAGAGTAAACCAGTCTGCAGAAGAAGCATCGTCTTCGCACGTTACGCTGTACCTTGCCTTCTTGTTGTAAAATAGCATTAAGCTTGACAGAAGCTGACGCTACAGAAACTTTAGTGTCACACAGGGGATGAAAGTAGCAGCCGCCACCCGCGGGTAACTTGGTGGTGGTGGGTGAAATCTTCAGGCCATCCGCCGCTTTGACGGACAGGATAAAACGCCCAACAGAAAGACAGGTGTAGTGAGGAAAGTGTATTCTGGCGTATTATTTATTGCCATGACTTGACTCTCAAATTATCTTTCTCATATTATTATAATTTGATATTTCTTCTCCACCATTGCTCATAATAATTCATGCATCACCTGATTTCATCATAACACAGGCCTGAAAGAACAGTGGATGTTTAATCTATCTGATATTGTGTTGGTCACTGATTTACTGCTTGTCCGCTTTGAATAATACAGAAGGTGAAGAGCTTAAAAGTTCATTTCAAATTAAATCGCAATATTGGTAGAAAAAATCGCAAGTACATCCAGCTGGGAGTGGGTCTCGGGGTAGATCTGGGACTTGGTGGAGAGACTATATCTCCACACTGGGCTGAGAACGCCTTGGGTCCCCCCAGTCAGAGCTGGATAATGTGGGTCAGGAAAGGGAGGTTTGGGGTCCCCTGCTGCCCACGCGATCCAGTGCTCATTGGATCAATTGCTTTTTCAAATTCTGGTCAAGAATTCAGATCTTAGTCATCAGCATTTCAGTCCATGTCTTAGTCAAAACCATAAATCCACAGAAAGTCTGATGAGCCTTCATCCAAACATTTTTTTGTTTTGTTTGTTTTGTTTGTTTAAAGCCACACTTATCAATATTTTTACATTAAATATGGGCCAAATGACTGTGTAATGTAAAATAACTCACTCGTAGTACCAAACCCACCAAGACATGTCACTAACTCTGCAGCTTTTAGATCCTAGGTTTGGTTTTGCAGCACATTTCCTGCCATTTTAACAACGTTTTGCTAGCTAAGGGCATTAAAATCCTAGTGATGTCCAAATCGCATTGGAAGCATTGGAATCAGGAACAATTTGTGCACTTTTTTATGCACATATATCTATTTTATGCTGTCTACTATCTGCCAGAGTAATTGCATCAAAATCCAATCCCCTCTGCTCTATGTCTTGTCCACCTCCTGCGAGTGTTGCAGCGCTGCTCTCTTTACCACTTTCACCAGTTAAACTGACACAGGGCTCAGGCGGCAGCTTATGTCAGCTGTCCCTAATTAACATTAACTCAGTGAGAAACATGACAAAATGAACCTTGTCTGCTGTCGGTTTGTGTTTCTGAACCCGAGCAAAGATCGTTTGTGAGGTGAAGAGGCTCCACTCTGTAACACCACTGTACAATTTAAATTCCCCTGATCATTCAAACGCTGTTCGAATCAGGTAGCTCGTGAGAAATAAAGTGAGCCAGAGTGAGTAGTTACAGCTGTTTCTAAGATATTAATTATTTAACAACATTTAAGTCAATATATTGATCAGAATCGGACGATCAGGATTCGGCTTGGGGCCAAGATACTTGATCAGAACATCCGTTGTAAATATTTTATAATCAGATCTTAGCAGATTTAAAGTTGCTGCACAAACCTGCAGAAGAGTAACTGTCAATGATTTCTGCAGCTCTGCGGTGTCCGACACCTCAGGAGGAGGTCTGACGCCTCTGGTTACAGCAGCAGACCTGATAATGAAGCTGCTCCTGACTCCTGGCTGCGATCAGAGGCCGAATGCCGCTGCACTCAGCAGGACATCAACATCGACTCTTTGGTTTTTAATATACACAACACACAACAAACAGTGCCCTCAAATCCCAAACTGTCCTCCCAGCTCACTGCTGATGTTTCCTTCAAACTGGGACCACATGAGTCTCTCAAGATAATGTACGACATTCCTGCACGAGTCAGTGGCGTACAAGTCGTCAGTGTTAACTTATTAATATTCAAGTCTAAAAAAAAAGTATGACTCATCAATATTCAAGCACGAGTAATCACTGTTCAGGGCCACGTTATATCCAACAAGACCTCCAACCTAAATGACAAAATAGATCTTAACTACATGACACAAGTCACATGATATCAAAAACGTGGTTAATGTGAAATGGTTGTAGTTTGGTCAGCTTTAGGCAGCAAAACCACTTAATCAGGTTTAGGTACCAAAACCACTTGGTCAGGTTTAGGTACCAAAACCGCTTGGTCAGGTTTAGGTACCAAAACCGCTTGGTCAGGTTTAGGTACCAAAACCGCTTGGTCAGGTTTAGGTACCCAAACCGCTTGGTCAGGTTTAGGTACCAAAACCACTTGGTCAGGTTTAGGTACCAAAACCACTTGATCAGCTTTAGGCACCAAAACCACTTGGTCTGGTTTAGGCACCAAAACCACTTGGTCAGGTTTAGGCCCCAAAACCACTTGGTCTGGTTTAGGCACCAAAACCACTTGGTCAGGTTTAGGCCCCAAAACCACTTGGTCTGGTTTAGGCACCAAAACCACTTGGTCAGGTTTAGGCCCCAAAACCTCTTGGTCAGGTTTAGGCCCCAAAACCACATGGTCAGGTTTAGGCCCCAAAACCACATGGTCAGGTTTAGGTACCCAAACCGCTTGGTCAGGTTTGGGTACCTAAACCGCTTGGTCAGGTTTAGGCACCAAAACCGCTTGGTCAGGTTTAGGCACCAAAACCACTTGGTCAGGTTTAGGCCCCAAAACCACATGGTCAGGTTTAGGTACCCAAACCGCTTGGTCAGGTTTGGGTACCAAAACCGCTTGGTCAGGTTTAGGCACCAAAACCGCTTGGTCAGGTTTAGGTACCAAAACCGCTTGGTCAGGTTTAGGTACCCAAACCGCTTGGTCAGGTTTAGGTACCAAAACCACTTGGTCAGGTTTAGGTACCAAAACCACTTGATCAGCTTTAGGCACCAAAACCACTTGGTCTGGTTTAGGCACCAAAACCACTTGGTCAGGTTTAGGCCCCAAAACCACTTGGTCTGGTTTAGGCACCAAAACCACTTGGTCAGGTTTAGGCCCCAAAACCACTTGGTCTGGTTTAGGCACCAAAACCACTTGGTCAGGTTTAGGCCCCAAAACCTCTTGGTCAGGTTTAGGCCCCAAAACCACATGGTCAGGTTTAGGCCCCAAAACCACATGGTCAGGTTTAGGTACCCAAACCGCTTGGTCAGGTTTGGGTACCAAAACCGCTTGGTCAGGTTTAGGCACCAAAACCGCTTGGTCAGGTTTAGGCACCAAAACCGCTTGGTCAGGTTTAGGCACCAAAACCGCTTGGTCAGGTTTAGGCACCAAAACCGCTTGGTCAGGTTTAGGCCCCAAAACCGCATGGTCAGGTTTAGGCACCAAAACCGCTTGGTCAGGTTTAGGCACCAAAACCACTTGGTCAGGTTTAGGCACCAAAACCACTTGGTCAGGTTTAGGCACCAAAACCACTTGGTCAGGTTTAATGATAACTCAACATTTACTTGGTTTCACATGGGACGCGGTTCTCCTCTGTGAAAGTCCTGCTTTGGTTTGACCCATCGATCCACCCACCTTCTTTCGATGTTTACACGTCATCCTACTTCCTCCTGTGCTGCCATCGAACGGGTGTTTTAGGTCACTGCCACAATAAACGAAAATATGGGTCATAATAACTTGATGCACAAAAGACCTATGTGGTTATTTTTCTGGAGAGGACAGGCTGGTAAAATCATCAGTCAGAAATATTTGTGTCCAAGCCGAGTCATCAAGACATTCAAGTCACTGATATTCCCGCACGAGTCAGTGGTCAACAAAATCTGAGTCATCGTACAAGTCATCAGTATGACTCATCAATATTCAAGCATGAGTCATCGATATTTACGTCTGAGTCGAAAACATAAATGAACAGAAAGTCTGACGACACGCTGTGATTGGCTGCTGCTGCCTCCAGAAGTTGAATCCAGGTCAGCGTCTTCTTTTTGGACACCTGACGAAACCATGGCAACGGTTGAGCCGACTCGCCTGAGGCCGAAGGAAATGAGTGGTCTTCTGGCTGATTGATTACAGATTGCGTGTGTGTGCTGACATGAAGCCATCTACAGCAGAACAGGTGGCGGCTCCTGACAGATTGGACGTCTGTGTTTAGAGATCGACTCGTCCCTCCTCTGCCACAAATATAATGATGATGTGCGGCGCTCGGATAAATCAGGACAGGGCGGGAGGTGGATGGTATTGTATTGTGTGATAAAGGTGTGTGTTTGTGGTGGAGGGGGGGGGGGGGCAGCAACAGTTCAAATGCTAAAAAAAGCATGTTTTTGTATTTCAGCTCAGACCTGACTGCTTCCAGTTTCTCTGCATGTGTCGTGAGTTTCTATGAAGACGTCGTGGTCGGAATGAATGGTGTCCTCATTTCTTAAAAAAGTACAGGCAGATGCTTACCCATCATGCAGTACCATCAGGGAGGCATCTGATTGGCCCCTAATTTCTTCTGCAGCATGACGAGTCCAAACACACAGCGAAAGTCATTCAGTACCTCTGTGATAGAAGATTGGTTCATATCGAGTGACACGTCTGCGTTGAATAATCGATGTTTAATTGTTTTGATTTTTATTTTCAGCAAACAAGAGCTCCTGACCATCTCCAATGTTCCCGCCGCAGACTGCCCCCCCTCTCCCCCCCGCACCGCACCCCCCACCATGAAGGTAACACACACTTTTATCCATCTATACTTTTGATGACCCTCAGAGAACCAACACCTGGTGGCATAACGTACTTACTGTCATAATACGGCACGCGTGCACTTCAGTTACCATGGTTATGAGTCACTCACATCATCATCCGTTAACGTCATTATTGTCAGTGTTAGCTAGCTTCTTTAATGTGGACAACACAGACAATCCGAGAAGACAAACACACATAAAACCTCTGCAGGACGCCTGGCTGCACACGCCTCCTCCCAGTTTGGCGTTCAAGGTCCGGATCAAGTTCTGTAGAGACTTTTAAGAACAACTGACGGTCAGTCGATACTTTCTAACGAATTGTGCATCGCTCTTAGGCTCTTAGGCCCCATCCACACAGTTTTAAACGAATACGATCTCCGTCCGCAGCAGCGTTTTAGAGTTGATCTACATTAAAACGATGAAACTGCACATCTAGTGGGCGTGCGCGTGCACACATGAAGCAGATGGTCTACTCTGTAGTTACAGAAGATTTGGTGAAAGAATAAACCACAACAGACGAAGAACCGCTCCAGATTTTGTTTTGCATGCACCAATAACGAGCTGGGACTGTAACTGAATGTAACACGGGAGTTAAAAGAGACTGTGTCGGCGGGAAACAGACTGGGAGTCACCGCAAAGTAAATATGGCGACATGTAGAGTACAAGTGTAGGCTGTAAATGTTGTTTGCATGGTACAAAATATTTTAATAAAAATACCTAATCGAAAACTCTGTCAGCAGCATCGTGTTTCTGCTTTGCACGACTTATGAGATCCAATCAGAGAGCCGAGCGTGAGCTGTCTGAAGAACTGTCTGAAGAACGCACACTCCTCTTCAATCATCATAAATTCAATCACTGTCTTATGATCCACAAATGATTTTGAGACTGGGATGTGTCCTGGTTACAGATGGTTATTAAGAACCTTCCAGCAAAGCATAAAAGAATCCTTACAACTTCAGAGGGAAACCCATATAGTGATTTTATGCAACTCATAAAATTATGCAACTCTTTTCTAAGGCACTCCAAAGTGGTTTTATGCAACCAGACCCTGGTCTGTATTCGTTCCTGCTGCAGGCTGTGATGTGAACACCAGCTTTTGTTTGAGCACTTATTCTGACTTAAATCCTAAAAGACGTAACCCTCCATCAGCACTTTGAAGAAGTGACTACAAATGTCCTGATTTTCCAGGATAAAACTCAAACTGGTCCTCATAAAGACAGAAACACAGGTATGCTCTAAAAAAAGCTACAAACAAAAGCCAGCATTAACACAAATCTCTTTCTGTCTCCAGTCGGCTCATTTCTTTGACATGATGGACAAGATGGAGGTAAGAATTTTTAATTTGTTGTATAAAATCACGGACATCTGTGTTTCCTGCTGTGAAAGCTGCTGAGATACCCACAGTTTGGGTTTTAATCAATGACGGGACAAAAAGTGGATTATTTTTATTGTTTTTTAAATCATCTTTGAAAAGTTTCTCCTCCTCCAGCAAACAACAGATGCTGAATTTACTCAACATTCATTAAGTTTCAAGGTGAATTAAAAGAAGATGCAACACTAATGTTTTCAGGGGTCCATATAAAGCAAAGACCTAAACATCACGCAGTATTCCTTCCTGCAGTCTCACTAGTTTTGGGGTTATGTTGTAATCGAACATTTCAAACCGCGGTGCTGATTCCTGTTCAACACATACAGACTTTATCCCTGAACGTGCGATTTGTACAGTTACTGATAGGGCTGCAAAGTTAATCGAATATCGATTGCGATTTTAGCTTCCCACGATTAAATGAACATGATCGACTCACTGCTATCACTGTTTAAAATGGGAACCTCTGCTGCAGATCAAATCAAGCGCTTCCTAAACTTACAGCCAGCACCCTCCTGCTGCTGCAGGCCAGAGTAGACTGCAAAGTCCACTAGTCCGCATGTGTTCGCTGCGCCTCGGCTGCCGGAGCTGGTCGCGGCCCTTCTAGTCAACGCTTGGAAGTCCATCAGACGCAGCGTCACAGAAGCAGCTCTCGGCTCAGTGAAGAATACACAAATATACAATAAGTCTATTTTTGGCGGAAGCCACGTCAAGCAGATAGAACTGGGCAGGAAGTCAGACACAGAATGGCGTAGAGAACCCGGTCACTTTTCAAAATAAAATACCCCGTGCATTAGGGCTGACCCCAAATAGTCGAAGATGCTTCGCTGGGCGGAGCCTGATTCGACTGTCAATCTTACAGTCGAATCTTCACAGCGAAACAAGGATCACGCCATTTTGGCGACATGGGGGTCTGATTTTACATAGAACTACCAATAAGTTAATATACAGCCTGTTACAATGTACATTTCAATGTTTAATGCAGTAAATAAACATGTAAAAAGAACAAAACTTTCAAAAAATGTTTTTAAAGTTCGTAAATAAAATCAAAATTGTAACCTTAACCCTGGGTCGTCTGTGCGCATGTGTAGGCGTAACGTGTATGTGTGTGGTGGCAGAAGAGGAACACCTGCTGTCGTACCTCGCGGGACTTTCGGATAATTTATCACCCTTGATGAACCACACAAAGAATATTTTATCGTTTCTAAATAGCTGCTACTTGCAATAGATCTGCGAGGGACCGCGACGTTCATGCAGCTGTTGGCGAGAGAGAGAGAAAAAATGCTCAACAATAAGCCCTACTGTGCAGACTCCCGACCATAAATCAACAAAAAACACAGTTAAAACAGAAAAGAACCTTTTATCTACATTACCTACTTAATCATAGAAGAAGCACAAGCGCTGATTACGAAATCAACAAAATCTAAACTTGTCAGCAAAATCAGGCAAAACGCTCTGATTCTGAAATGCTCCCTGTGGGAGACGCAGCCGAGCAGACAACCGAACAAAACCGGGTCTCAGAGACGTTGCTGATAAGAAGGGTAGAAGCACAAAAAGGACTAAATAACAACTAGGAGACGATGCACTTTAAGGACCAGTCTTATTTTGATGCAAAGATTTATATTTATTTTAACAGTTTATTTAAATTTGAAAGTGCAATAAAAATATGTTGTCCCTAAAACCAATGACTGATCTCAATATAGATCAAAATAATTATGATTTTGGCCATAATCGTGCAGGCTAGTTACCGATCATTTTAGAAAAAGCAACAGGAAAACAGCATCCTGCAGCTTTGTAAGCAGTTAAAGGAGAAACCTGGTGATGTTTTCCTCTAGTCAACAAAACCCAAACGAGCAGTGAACATGCATCCTAACGAGTCCCGAGTGTCTCTCAGCCTGATGTCTCATACCTGATGTACTGAGCCTTTTTAAACGTGAAACTTTATATCTGTGAGGTGTTTTAAAGATCTACAGGAGGAACCGATGGGCTCAGAGCTGAGAGCAGCACAGAATCTTAATGCTGTCTTCTCTTCCTGACACTGATGCAGCAGGTGCCGGAAGCTGCCGAGATGAAGACAATCCCTCAGAGACAGAAGGCACGTCCGTCCATCTGTCCTCGTTTCCATCCACTCCCTCTTTTCATTGCTTCATTTCATTCATTCCTTCAAACAAAAGCAGAACCAAAGTCTCTGTGAAAACCTCGACTCTGAGGAAGAACCTGCCAGATTAAAGACTGATCACTTTGTGATTTTGGACTCGAGGTAATATCTTTTATAATATTTTCCACCGTTAGTTCCAGTCCGGTGGCAGCAGGCTAAGCAGGGTAGTCCAGAAGTCCCAGCTCCTCCTGGGGAGGCATTCCCACAGCAGATGTTTAATCTCTGGGTCTACCACGGGGTCACCTATTACTTGGACGTGCCCAGAAAAACCTCCAAATTAGCCACTCCTATGGAGGAAACTCTTTTTCAGCCGGTTGTATTCGTGATCTCCCTCTTTCAGTAACTTTACAAGCTCTTGAACGTCATGCAACTGGTAAATACTCACCTCAACTGTCCTGTGCAAACGCCGCACCGATCTACCTGCCAACCTTCATGCTCCTCACTTGTGAGCAAGACCCCGAGATACTCACTACCAACTTTTCTGACACAGTACCTCAGACTTGGACTCTCATCACAACTGCTTCACACGCTGCATGCCACCTCAGGACGTCCTGGAGGTGAAGAACCACATCATCTGCAAAGAGAAGCATTTCGGGGGTCTGCTCTAGGACGTGATTCCACGCCTCCAGGACCAGTTTATGGAGGTTCCTGCCCTCACCAGCTGTTCTCCAGGCAATGCTACTGTCCCAGTCTCTGTGGCTGATAGTGATCCACGTAAAGGCCCAGAATAAGTACAATCAGCCAGATTGGTTGTCGTGTTGATGTGCAGTTTGAGGTCACGGCACCTTAGTCTTTTTGTAAATATGAACCGTCGTCTTGATATCTGATCTGATAAAACTAAACGGAACAGCTGTGTTGTTTTTTTTACTTCTTACTCTCAAGTTCATAGTCGACAAAGAAACGCTGCCTTTTGCCCTTTTTGTTAGCATTGTTAAGGACGCAACCATCTTCTTTTAATAAACTTTATTCGAATTGTCACTGGACAAAAACAAACGGGGTTTCAATGTTTATTTTCAGTGTGAGTTCCACGTCGTGGCCGGTTCTGCACAGTTGCCGTTTGAAACAGCTGTAGCCTGACGACACCTCCCCAAAAATTTAACCACATGTCGCGGCAACGCAGACCTCGACACCTGCGATTGGTCGACTTGGTAGCGTTGCATTTCCTCCTACGCATTTTCGACTTGTCCTTTATCTTCTGCCTCAAACGCCTCAAGGGTCGCCTCCCCTCGTTTCACTAATTTCACTATAAGTAACTGCTGTTCAACATCGATCAGCTCCAACTCCGACACGATCCACTCACTTTCAGCCGCCAGACACCAACGAAGAAGAAGAAGAAACAACTCAACAAAGTGGAACATAGAAGCCTCACCACTAACTAGCATTTTGGCGACGCAGACACAAACGCCACCATGTTTAAAAGCTCATAATGGAGCACGTAGCCTTCGCCAGTGGCTACGGCGTAGACTCGACGCACTAATGCCTCCACCACATTAAGGTGGTGATTCTCAGAGGGCTTTATACATGTGTAGGACAGCAAAGACCCTTCTGGGACAAATAACTGATGATTGAGATTAGTATCTGCTCCATCTGTCCCGTCCAACACCATCTCTCACGCATGTTTATCCACCTGGATGTGTTCGTACTGTGCATCACGGCAGCGTATGTATATTTAACCGTGTGTGTGACTGCTCCGTCCTTCTCTTTCAGGACGACTACATTCCTTATCCGAGGATCGAGGAGGTGAGCGTCGAACGTCATCCTCCGAACACAGAATTCATAAACATCCTGACGCTCGCTCACGGGCGTCTGCATCCACAGCACACGGGCTGAATGTGACGAAATGTCTGAGAAACAAATAAAGGTCACGAGTAAAGAGATGCTGCTACCCCTGAGGAGAGGAAACATTTTTATTTACCATAAATTATATGACCCCGTTCTGCCATTTTGACTGCAGTTTTAATTTCATTAGTAAAGTTTCAGGCAGCACACAAAATGGATGATCAATTTCAAATTAGAGCGATAAATGAAGTATTTCATGTTGAAACAAGACGCAGACACATAAAGAAGCCAACATACGTGTTGCTGGAAACGTCCCGTACAAACTTCTGTCAGACACAAAAGGAAGAAGAAGCTAAAACAGTCAAACTAGACTTCTTAAAAGGGAAAAACAGACGTCAGTTTGCCCTCGAGCAAAATCTATGTGACAATCATATCACCTCTACACCTGGATAAGAGGAGTCATTTTCACAGCCCGACTCAGAGGGAGGACAAAAAGACATGACTTTTATCTAAAGATTTATTTAACTCTAAATTGGAGAAATATAAAGTACAGTAAAAAAGCAGTGAATTGAGTGTCTGCATGTGAACGAGCCATACGAGAGTGACTCCAGCAGCTTATGGGAAAAAATAAATTAAGATAAAATAATACCGTGAATAAAGTGCGACAAAGTACCAAAGTACTTTGCGACACATAAATAAATGAACAGTACAGTCTATAAGCGACAGCTAAACTGCCTCACATCGTTTCAAACAAGAGAAAAGATTCACCTGCCCTGCTTCAGTCTCACCTGGACGCCTGGAAATATTTCAACCTAATGATTTGGATAGTTAACCACACCGTTCAGCTTCCTCGTGTGTCTTTTCAGAAGTTTTCAGGTACGCTGTTTTGCTAAGACCTCTGGTCCAGACTGTGTCTGCGCCTCCTCAGGACGAGCCTAAAGTAAAGAAGGTAGTTTGGATTGAGGGAGCAAACATTCAGCGTCAGAGTTCGAGAATTAACATAAACGATGTTAGCAGCTGACAGTCCGGATCAAACTCGTCAACACATGGTCTCTTAGTAACAAGTGCAATACTTGACATATGTGCTTTGTTTTCTGCTTCAGTAGCCAGGTCCCAGTATTCATCACCTCTGCCAGTACTCATTATTAATATTAGTGTTCTCTACTACTATTTATTATTATACTGTTCATATCTACACTCCTTATATTTAGAGTTTAGATTTGCATGTTTGTATTTTGCGCTATATTTTCTACTTACCTACTTTCTGGCATAAATCAGCGTATTGGAAACACCGTAGTCTGAACACACCTGAAGTCTTTCAGGTGACACCTCACCTGAAACACCTTGAAATGATCAGCTGTGTGTGCGCTGCAGGTGCTGGAGAGGGGGGCGCCGTACCCTCAGGTCATCCTACCTGAGTTTGGAGGTTACTGGATCGAGGATCCCGAGGCCCCTCCTCCCACCTCCCTGAAAATCAAGAGGCAGGAGGAGGATGAGACGGAGGAAGAGGAGGAGGCGGAGCAGGAGGAAGACACCCCCCCAGGGGATTATGGGTACCAGCTGGAGGAGATCAGCGGGGCTGCACGGGCGTACAGGAAGCACTTCTTGGGCAGAGTGAGAGTCTGTGTTTAAATGCTCGAGACTTACTGTGTCAAGTCTGCACCACAGTGACCTTTGACCTCTCTCTCTTTCTCAGGAGCATTTAAACTTCTCTTGCTCGACCAGCAGTCTGGGAAACCTGCTGCTTTCTGTGCGGCACGAAGAAGAGAAGGAGCAGGAGTCCCTCCACGTTATCATCAGGTACACGCCAACACCTCACATGCTGTACATATCGTTTGGTTATTTTTACATATATATATATATATATATATACACGCACTCACCGGCCACTTTAATAGGTACACCTGTTCAACTGCTTGTTAACACAAACAGCTGATCAGCCAATCAATGCATTCAGGCATGTAGACGTGGTCAAAACAACTCGCTGAAGTTCAAAGCGAGCATCAGAATAGGGAAGAAAGGGGATTTAAGTGCCTTTGAACGTGGCATGTTGTTGGTCTGAGTGTTTCAGAAACTGCTGATCTGCTGGGATTTTTACTCACGACCGTCTCTAGGGTTTACAGAGAATGGTCCGGAAAAGAGAAAGTTGTGAGGATGAAACTGCCCTGTTGATGTCAGAGGTCAGAGGACAATGAGCTCGAGATGACAGAAAGGCAACAGAAACTCAAATAACCACTCGTTACAACTAAGGTCTGCAGGACACCATCTCTGAACGCACAGCAGGTCGAGCCGTGAAGCAGACGGGCCACAGCAGCAGAAGACCACACCGGGTGACACTCCTGTCAGCTAAGAACAGCAAACTGAGGCTACAGTTCAGACAGGCTCACCAACACTGGACAGTAGAAGAAGGAAAAACATTTTCTGGTCTGATGAGTCTTTGTTTCAGCTGCGACATTCAAAGGGGAGGGTCAGAATTTGTCGTAAACAAAATGAAAGCATGGATCCATCCTGCCTTGTTTCAACGGTTCGGGCTGCTGGTGTGGGGGATATTTTCTGGGCACACTTTGGACCCCTTTGTACCAACTGAGCATTGTTTGAACACAACAGCCTGCTTGAGTATTGCTGCTGATCATGTCCATTCCTTTATGATGTACCATCTCCTGATGGCTACTTCCAGCAGGATAATGCACCATGTCAAAAAGCTCAAATCATCTCAAACTGGATTGTTGAACATGACAGTAAGTTCACTGTACTCCAATGGCCTCCACAGTCACCAGATCTCAATCCAGTAGAGCACCTTTGGTGGAACGGGAGATTCGCATCATGGATGTGCAGCCGACAAATCTGCAGCAACTGCGTGATGCTATCATGTCAATATGGAACAAACACCTTGTTGAGGGTATGCCATGAAGAATTAAGGCAGTTCTGAAGACAAAAGGGGTTCCAACCCGGTACTAGCAAGGTGTACCTAATAAAGTGGCCGGTGAGTGTAGCTGATCCTTGATGATCCAGAGCTCAGTACCTGAACTGAATCCTCACAATTAGCTCTAAGTAGATTTCAGACCTGTGAGCAGTCAGGCGCTCTGGGGAATACAGCGGTGGAAGAAGTTCAGGTCTTTAAATGAAGTATGAGTATTAATACTACAGTGTAGAAAAACTCTGTTCAAAGTAGAAGTCCTGCATTCAAAATCCAAAAAGTCTGTGCCTTTGTTTTAAGACCTGAACAGAAACAGCTCATTGCTGATAATAACCACGACAGATGCATGCGTTCACTTGCTGAGGTGCGCAGCTGTGACTGTAGATGTACCTGCCCGTACCTGTTTGTGAAACAACTACACCTTCAGTCTCTGTCACGAAACAGTGAGCCAGCATGAACAAGACCAGGACCCTGGAGCAGCTACGTGGGACTCAGCTGTCAATCATTTCATTATTCACATCTTGCTGCAACATGTCAGATGATTTACGCTCTGCACCTTCATTAAGTATTTAAATCCTCCGTGGCTGCAGCATCTACCAGTAACTGACCTCTTTGTCATGTTTCCACTGTGAGATCAGCTGATTTTCCTGACGGAGCCTCCGGCTGCTTCAGGTGCAGCTTCTCTTTACTCAGAACAGAATCGTTACTTGTTTTATACTTGTGACTGTCGTCTTTGGAGGTTTGCGGCTCACCACTAAAGGAAAAAGCACTCGCAGAGATCTTTCAATTCAGTTCATTCAAAAATAACTACTGTGGCTTCAACAGGTGGAATTTTATGCCAGGTATCGAATGAAGTACTCTGTTGGTCTCGGTATCACTTTAAGGGTACTGGTTTTGGTTTTGGTATCGTAAAATGTTAAATGATACCCAACCCTACGTGTAATGGTTTGGGTTAAAGTGAGTATGTAGTTATGTAACTTACCTAGCATCATTAAATAGATTTCACTCCTATATCAGTGTCCGGTTTGGACCAATCCAACCACTTCTTGACTCGGACGTTTCTGTTCTGACATTTATGTTTAACAATGACGCTAACGGACTTCTCAATGTGATAAAATCTCTCAACCAGGTTCACATACAACACAACCCTAATCTGGTTTACTACAGCAGTATGAACCCGTAATAAACATTTCGCAGTGATTAACGGATCAAACTGATGCCGAAATAACAACATCATGATGCAGGTTTGTTAAAAATATTAATTCACGCTTTGTCAGGTCTGTCAGCGAGTTAACAACTTTTTAAATGTTTGTTTTCTGAATGGAGTTCAGATCGATCAGGGCTATGCTCAGTTAAGTACAACGACACCTGGAATCAAGGAACAGACACATAAATCTGAAATCACCAGGTAGTTTAACTTCCTGTCTTACTTTTCTCCGAGCAGCCTCCTGTTGTGTCCAGTCTGTGTAAATATGAAGTCGTTTCACGGAGCTCTCCATGCCCACTGACGCTACAATATCAAAAGTGGAGTTTGGAAACTCGCAGCTGCAGACAGGTTTACAAGCGCGAGTGACTTTTTAATCCTCAAAATCAATATTAAATGTTAATGCAATAAAAGAAACGAACTCTGAGCTCCTGCTGTTGGTAAACGGCTCTGTTATCTGAGCAGAATCCGGGTTATTTGTCCAAAGCTTCGCCGCCGCCGCCGTCTCTGTCCTGCAGAGCTCGCCGTCACTCAGCAGTATAAATAAAAGCTCGCTTCGTGAGGAGTGAGAGCGAAGACTTAACTAATTTAAAGGGAATTCTTTTGATCAGCTCTGAGGACTTTCTGCGGGTTCAGGACTCTCTGAGGTTTGTCTCTTGTCTCTCCAGATCTCGGGTGAAAAGCGTCTACCACAGATTGTCTCTGACCGAGCTGCCTGACATCCCCAGCGTACCGGAGCTCGCCAAGGTAACCGCACAGAAGGAAACCGCTGTAAAACATCACAACGCAACTGAATAAGTCACATTTAAAATGTATGAAAAAAGAAATATATACTGCGGGACAGATCTGGTTCTTCACTGTCACGTTGAGGGACGTTTACCTCGACTGTAACCTGAGCGCACATCTGAACTCTAAAGTCTCAGTTTCAAAGCAGATGTGTTTGTCTGAAACATTTCATTTCATTTATTTGTTTATTTGACAGGGACAGTGCTCATTAATTAACAGTAAAATAACTGTAAATGAGCCAGCGTTAGCTCAACAGGCTAATTTTCATCTGTTGTTCCCGGCCAGTTATTATGAGGAATAAAGATTTAAAATGACATAAAATTACTTATTACAGTCCACATGTAATAACAATATATACACAATAGTAGTAAGACGGGTACAACACACAACAATAAGTAACAAACAACATAGAGAACAGAGAACACACGTGATGTTTGTTCCTCTTGTGTTTGTGGGGAACATTTAAAGAAGTGACTGCGAGCTGATGAATGTGACTGTTACCGGACGCTGGGAAAAAGAAGGACCGATTCTGTTTTTGTAGATGTGTGTTTCTGTTTGTCTCTGAGGCTGAAACTGTGTGTGTTGTTCCTCCTGAAGCTGCTGTGTGAGGAAGCAGCAGGCCTGCGCTTCAGTCCCGTCCTCTACCCGAAGGTGAGCGCTCACACAGCTTCAACACAACCTCCAGTTTTCTGCTACGAACAGATCACGATGGACTGATTTTATCTAACCTGTCTGTCATCAGGCGTCTCAGCTGATCGTAAACTACGACGAGCACGAGGTCAACAACACCTTCAAGTTTGGAGTCATTTACCAGAGATTTGGACAGGTACTTCCTGCCTGACTGACCGCGGGAACACATTGACTGTTTGACCTCAGATTAATATACATGATTCCCACTGTGAGGCAAAGATACTGTGTGAGGTGAGAGGCACAGGTGCATGCAGGAAGCTGGTTATTGTAGTTTGACCGCTCACCGGCAGGTGGCGCTGCAGCAGTGACTCACAGCTGATGGAGGAGATTAAGTCACTTGAAACCAAGAGCGTCACAGCCTGAAACTTTAGGAGCTACCAAAACATGTGAACGTCGATGTTCAGCAGCGACCTGGCTCAGGTGGCTCACCGCCTGCTGCATGTGATTTGTGAAGAAGTGCTAGCCAATGATAGCTGCACAGATTTCCACATTAACAGCGAGACGTGACATTTCCAGTCTGTAAATTCTAGACTTTCATCTGTTAATCACAAGTGTGTGAGAGTTTACTGATCCGTTTTCACCCCTTTTTCATTCAGGGAACCAAAGAACAGGCTGACGTTATTGTTGTCTACAAAAGGGATTATTAACGTGATTTCAGTCGCAAATGACGCCATGAATAAGAAAACTAATTTTATTTAGTGATAGGCACCAAAACGTGATGTTAAACAGGATAAATGTCCGAGTTTTTCACTCTTTTTAAACATCAGGAAATTTGATCTATTTTACTGACATGTTAGATTTGCTTACAGAGATGTTATTGAGTTCATATAGTGACTTTGCTGCTGTAAACTATTGCCGGTGTTCTGACGATATATGCTGCCCTTGAAAAATGCCACCTTATGTGTTCCCATTTCCAATCCCATAAAGTTATAACTTTCACAGTATTATGACGTCTTCTTTATTTGATTATATTATAACATCATTTCAGGGGTAGCGTATTCTGATAGACTAATAATGATTTTGTGTTGATATTGCTGACGATCAGCCACTGTCTCAGCGGCGTGCCCAACAGTAAGGTTGCACAGATTTATGGCCGTGGGAACAGACCACGCTTGTGGGTCATACGAACCCGCAGAACCGCTAAGTAGCACATCTCGATAGGTAGCATGAATCAACAGAAAATCAGTCGTTTATTGATATTTAAAATATTCAATTCTAATTCCGTTCTGAATCTAAATACGTTTATTACGTCATCGCAATATATGGAATGATAACGCACAGTGCAGATTTTCCTCATATCGTGGAGTCGTGCTAGAAACGCTTTCTGTGTGAACTAGTTGGACGGTTGTTGTGCAGCTGATGTGTGACGGATGTGAACGTGTTCTGGTTGTATGTTGTGAGACTGACGGGGTTGTCACTTGTCCGTCAGGTGTCTGAGGAGGAGCTGTTCAGGAACAACGAGGAGACGCCAGCCTTCACAGAGTTCCTGCAACTGCTGGGAGACACAGTGCAGCTGCAGGACTTCAAGGGGTGAGGAGGGTAATAATCCATCAGAGTAAAGGCCAATCTACAAAATAATGTTTATTAACATTATTTTTATTATGTTTTTAACAAGTAGAACACAGAAACAAGAGAGAAGCAATAGAACATGTAAAGATATGTGTATATATATATATATATATATATATATATATATATATATATATATTTAAAATAAAATAAAGAAAGAAGATGGTGGATAATCTTTGTAAGTAGGTTGTGCTGCCTGTAGAGGGTCTGGAAGCATGTTTGTTAACCTTAACCCTGACTGAAATTTAAAAACGGCATCGCTCCTCTGTGCAGGTTTCGGGGAGGTCTGGATGTGTCCCACGGTCAGACGGGTTCCCAGTCGATCTACACCGTCCACAGACAGCAGGAGATCATGTTCCACGTCTCCACCAAACTGCCCTTCACAGAGGGAGACACACAGCAGGTAGAACAGCATGAGAAACATATACAGAACATGACATAAACATGACAGAGCCTGAGAAACACATGACAGAACATGTGAAACACATGACAGAACGTGAGAAACACATGACAGAACATGTGAAACACATGACAGAACGTGAGAAACACATGACAGAACATGAGAAACACATGACAGAACATGTGAAACACATGACAGAACGTGAGAAACACATGACAGAACATGAGAAACACATGACAGAACATGTGAAACACATGACAGAACGTGAGAAACACATGGCAGAACATGAGAAACACATGACAGAGCGTGAGAAACACATGACAGAGCGTGAGAAACACATGGCAGAACATGAGAAACACATGACAGAACGTGAGAAACACATGACAGAGCGTGAGAAACACATGACAGAACATGAGAAACACATGACAGCACATGAGAAACACATGACAGAGTGTGAGAAACACATGACAGAGCGTGAGAAACACATGACAGAGCGTGATATGACAGAACGTGAGAAACACATGACAGAGCGTGAGAAACAGATAACAGAGCATAAGAAACACATGAAAGAACATGTGAAACACATGACAGCACATGAGAAACACATGACAGCACACGAGAAACACATGACAGAACGTGAGAAACACATGATAGAACATGAGAAACACATGACAGTGTGAGAAACACAAGACCGAACATGAGAAACACATGACCGAACGTAAGAAACACATGACAGAGCATGAGAAACACATGACAGTGTGAGAAACACATGACCGAACATGAGAAACACATGACAGAATGTGAGAAACACATGACAGAACATGAGAAACACATGACAGAGAGTGACATGACAACACATGAAACACATGACAGAGCGTGACATGACAACACATGAAACACATGACAGAGCGTGACATGACAGAACATGAGAAACACATGACAGAACATGAGAAACACATGACAGAGCGTGGGAAACACATGACAGAGCATGAGAAACACATGACAGTGTGAGAAACACGACAGAACATGAGAAACACATGACAGAACGTGAGAAACACATGATAGAACATGAGAAACACATGACAGTGTGAGAAACACATGATAGAACATGAGAAACACATGACAGTGTGAGAAACACATGACCAAACATGAGAAACACATGACAGAATGTAAGAAACACATGACAGAGCATGAGAAACACATGACAGTGTGAGAAACACATGACCGAACATGAGAAACACATGACAGAACGTGAGAAACACATGATAGAACGTGAGAAACACATGATAGAACATGAGAAACACATGACAGTGTGAGAAACACATGACAGTGTGAGAAACACATGACCGAACATGAGAAACAGATAACAGAGCATAAGAAACACATGAAAGAACATGTGAAACACATGACAGCACATGAGAAACACATGACAGCACACGAGAAACACATGACAGAACGTGAGAAACACATGATAGAACATGAGAAACACATGACAGTGTGAGAAACACAAGACCGAACATGAGAAACACATGACCGAACGTAAGAAACACATGACAGAGCATGAGAAACACATGACAGTGTGAGAAACACATGACCGAACATGAGAAACACATGATAGAACATGAGAAACACATGACAGTGTGAGAAACACATGACCGAACATGAGAAACACATGACCGAACGTAAGAAACACATGACAGAGCATGAGAAACACATGGCAGAGCATGAGAAACACATGACAGTGTGAGAAACACATGACCGAACATGAGAAACACATGACAGAGCGTGGGAAACACATGACAGAACATGAGAAACACATGACAGAGCGTGAGAAACGCATGACAGAGCATAGGAAACACATGAAAGAACATGTGAAACACATGACAGAGCCTGAGAAACGCATGACAGAGCGTGAGAAACACATAACAGAGCATAGGAAACACATGAAAGAACATGTGAAACACATGACAGAACGTGAGAAACACATGATAGAACATGAGAAACACATGACAGTGTGAGAAACACATGACCAAACATGAGAAACACATGACAGAATGTAAGAAACACATGACAGAGCATGAGAAACACATGACAGTGTGAAAAAACACATGACCGAACATGAGAAACACATGACAGAGCGTGGGAAACACATGACAGAACATGAGAAACACATGACAGCACATGAGAAACACATGACAGAACGTGAGAAACACATGATAGAACATGAGAAACACATGACAGTGTGAGAAACACATGACAGTGTGAGAAACACATGACCGAACATGAGAAACACATGACCGAACGTAAGAAACACATGACAGAGCATGAGAAACACATGACAGAGCATGAGAAACACATGACAGTGTGAGAAACACATGACCGAACATGAGAAACACATGACAGAGCGTGAGAAACACATGACAGTACATGAGAAACACATGACAGCACATGAGAAACACATGACAGAGCGTGAGAAACGCATGACAGAGCATAGGAAACACATGAAAGAACATGTGAAACACATGACAGAGCATGAGAAACGCATGACAGAGCATAGGAAACACATGACAGAACGTGAGAAACACATGATAGAACATGAGAAACACATGACAGTGTGAGAAACACATGACAGAATGTAAGAAACACATGACAGAGCGTAAGAAACACATGACAGAGCATGAGAAACACATGACAGTGTGAAAAAACACATGACCGAACATGAGAAACACATGACAGAGCGTGGGAAACACATGACAGAACATGAGAAACACATGACAGCACATGAGAAACACATGACAGAACGTGAGAAACACATGATAGAACATGAGAAACACATGACAGTGTGAGAAACACATGACAGTGTGAGAAACACATGACCGAACATGAGAAACACATGACCGAACGTAAGAAACACATGACAGAGCATGAGAAACACATGACAGAGCATGAGAAACACATGACAGAGCATGAGAAACACATGACAGTGTGAGAAACACATGACCGAACATGAGAAACACATGACAGAGCATGAGAAACACATGACAGAGCATGAGAAACACATGACAGTGTGAGAAACACATGACCGAACATGAGAAACACATGACAGTACATGAGAAACACATGACAGCACATGAGAAACACATGACAGAGCGTGAGAAACGCATGACAGAGCATAGGAAACACATGAAAGAACATGTGAAACACATGACAGAGCATGAGAAACGCATGACAGAGCATAGGAAACACATGAAAAAACATGTGAAACACATGACAGAGCGTGAGAAACACATAACAGAGCATAGGAAACACATGAAAGAACATGTGAAACACATGACAGAGCGTGAGAAACGCATGACAGAGCATAGGAAACACATGAAAGAACATGTGAAACACATGACAGAGCATGAGAAATGCATGACAGAACGTGAGAAACACATAACAGAGCATAGGAAACACATGAAAGAACATGTGAAACACATGACAGAGCATGAGAAACACATCACAGAACATGAGAAACACATGACAGAGCGTGAGAAACGCATGACAGAGCGTGAGAAACACATAACAGAGCATAGGAAACACATGAAAGAACATGTGAAACACATGACAGAGCGTGAGAAACGCATGACAGAGCATAGGAAACACATGAAAGAACATGTGAAACACATGACAGAGCATGAGAAACGCATGACAGAGCATGAGAAACACATAACAGAGCATAGGAAACACATGAAAGAACATGTGAAACACATGACAGAGCATGAGAAACACATCACAGAACATGAGAAACACATAACAGAGCATAGGAAACACATGAAAGAACATGTGAAACACATGACAGAGCGTGAGAAACACATGACAGAGCATAGGAAACACATGAAAGAACATGTGAAACACATGACAGAGCGTGAGAAACGCATGACAGAGCATAGGAAACACATGAAAGAACATGTGAAACACATGACAGAGCATGAGAAACGCATAACAGAGCATAGGAAACACATGAAAGAACATGTGAAACACATGAAAGAACATGTGAAACACATGACAGAGCATGAGAAACACATCACAGAACATGAGAAACACATGACAGAGCGTGAGAAACGCATGACAGAGCATGAGAAACACATAACAGAGCATAGGAAACACATGAAAGAACATGTGAAACACATGACAGAGCGTGAGAAACACATGACAGAACATGAGAAACACACGACAGAACGTGAGAAACAGCAGAACACAATTGAGTGTAACGTAAAAGCACATGATATTACATGACGTGTTTTGAAGTGGCATGAAGTGAGTACATCATAACATGCAGTATTACAGCATGACAAACAGGGATATAGACACACTACAACATACAGCAGCTTGACATTACAGAACGTGTAACAATACAACAATAGCATGACATGATGATGTAAGTCAAGTTCTGCTCCAGCTTCAGAGGAAACGTCACATAGGAAACGACATCGTGGCGGTGGTGTTCCAGGAGGAGGCCACGCCTTTTGTCCCAGACATGATCGCCTCCAACTTCCTGCACGCCTTCATCGTGGTGCAGGTGGAGGAGCCTTGCGGTGACAGCAGCTCCTACAAGGTACAGCTGAGGACAAAACATGTTTCACTTAGTGTTCTTGCATGTTTGTAAATCTAAATATCAAAGTTCCCTCCAGCAGAGCAGAGTGTTGTGTCATTTACAAACTGAATTTCTCTCTCTTTTTTCCTGTGTTGAGATTAAACCAGAGATGTTACAGAATTTCCCTTCGGGGATCAATAAAGTATTTCTGATTCTGATCACAACTGGGAATGATCATTGGCAGAAAGATTTCCATCGAAGATGAGAAAGAAAAGCTTTAGTTAAATTTCAGTCTTATCTCTGGTACCGAGCAGCGCTTCCTGTCTACTGACTGACTTACTGTATGGAACAACTCTAAAGGCCTTCTGGGTGCACTCAAGAAGTTAGCTTCATGTGCTAATAAGTTTGAGGAGCCGCTGGTTCCACGTTCTGTATTCCCATTTCAAAGGTATTAAAAGTTCTCCTCAGTGTTTCTGAGTATGAAACCCACCTGGTTGATGAAACCAGCCTACAGCTTCATCGTCTGACCACCATTTAGATTTTTTGTCTGTCTGATGGACGGCTCTAAATACTGCAAAACCCTTGAGTCTTGGCTGCTCCTGTTGTTGCACTGTAAAAATTATCAAGGTGTTTCAACTTAAAAACTTAAGTTCCAATTTCTGCCTTAAAAATGTGAGTAAACGCAACTTTAAGAAAAGCTTTGTTTCAGCTCATGATGTTACGTTATACAATTTGTTTAATTAATGCTAATTTATTGTTTGAACTCTAAACAACTACCTATATTACATTTTCCATTCAAGGAAACTTGCTGTCTCTTGTCAAACAAACATACAATTCTACACCCTTTCAACTCACATTTTTAAGTTCAGATAACTAAATATAAGACATTTCAAATTAGTTAAATTTGGAAATACAAGTTCACCTGCTGCCTTGAAACAACAGCGCTGCAGCAGTATTATCTTCAATAGCTTGCAACGCGGCAGGGCAGTTTGTTGGTGCGCAAGTGCACACCGCTGTCAATGTTCAAAATAGCAGCAGGTATCACCTCCTTTCTGAAAGGGCCTTAAGGCCACAGTCAGGAACCCTTTCCACCGGTGGCACTAGTCTTACCATATTTTGGTTGAAATTTGAAACTTATCTGCAATATATAATTAGTAGGGATGAACAAGAACACCACTATCTGTATCTGTTAAACAAATAAAATTTTCTGTATCCATACTCCTTGCGATGGACTGGCGACCTGTCCAGGTTGTACCCCGCCTTTCGCCCGATGTCAGCTGTGATTGGCTCCAGCCGCCCGCGACCCTGTACTCAGGATAAGCGGTTGACGATGGATGGATGATGGATGGTATCCATACTCAGAATGGGTGTGGCTTAATCTAGATGTGGGCGGGACTAACTGGAAGTTATTTAAGCCTGAAATTGGTTTCAGAACTTGCTATATTTATTAGAAAACTATTTACAGAACAGCCTCAGAATTGAGCTTCATAGCAATGTTTTTGATCATAATAGTAATTGATTTTTAAACAAAAGATTTGTATATTAATAGTTGCTGTCGTGGGTTCAAACCCCGGTTGTCTCGGCCTTTCTGTGTGGAGTTTGCATGTTCTCCCCGTGTCTGCGTGGGTTCTCTCCGGGTGCTCCGGCTTCCTCCCACTGTCCAAAGACATGCTGATTGGTTAATTGGTGACCCTAAATTGTCCTTAGGTGTGAGCGTGAGTAGTTGTTCATACATGTGTGGCCCTGCGATGGACTGGCGACCTGTCCAGGGTGTACCCCGCCTTTCGCCCGATGTCAGCTTGGATTGGCTCCAGCCCCCCGCGACCCTGTACGCAGGATAAGCGGTTGATGATGGATGGATGGATGGACGGATGGATATTTCTAGTTTATAATAAAAGAGATATTGATGCATTTTACTCTGATGATACTCATAAAAAGTATCTGACTGTACAGGATCCTCGTTTCTACCCTAATATTTTGTTGATTATGTATGTTTCTCTCAAACTAAACAGACGCAGCACCCATCCCCGCATTCTCGCCGTTTTTCAACTTATAACTTACACAAGTTCAATCAACCCGACAAAAGTCTCAAATACTCAACACAATGAATGAAGTTTAACTTTCTAAAACTCAGTTGAGTTCAAAATCCAAAACTTGTCAGAAGAAGGAAGAAGTAAGTTGACGTATCTAAATGGGTCTATGATTGTTTTTTTAAGGTGGGTGGAGAAGCAGAGGTGGGAACAAACCACAGAACTCAGAATCTAAAGGTCAATTAATTTAAGCTGGATTCGATGTTTCTTGCTGAAGTGCACCCTGGGACTTGTAGTTCTCTCCTTCAGCGTATCTGTCCACAGCCTTCTTGTACCTTTGAGTTTTTATCAGAGAAACAGTGGTCCATCTTTTGTTGTGATTATTCACCAGGAGAGCTGTAGAAGAGCTCGATCACGGGTACCAGCCTCTCTACAGCACACAACAAACCAGTTCTCACTAAACTACTGAGAAACACAGTGTTGTTGTTCTGTTCCCGCCTGCTGTCTCTGTGACAAACTGTTGTGATTGACAGGTGTCCGTCACAGCACGAGAAGACGTTCCTCCGTTTGGCCCGCCCCTCCCAAATCCAGCCGTCTTTAAGAAGGTGAGAGGAAGACGAGCACAACAATCTTCAAAATGTTCCGGGTATAAATGTGAACCTGGTGTCCTTTGTGTGTTCAGGGTCCGGAGTTCAGAGAGTTTCTCCTCACTAAACTCATAAACGCAGAGCTGGCCTGCTACAAGAGCGACCGCTTCGCCCGGCTAGAGGTAAAAAAGTCTAAAAACACTTCAGACACACGTTTTGTTCTGTTTGTTAAAATTCTCTTTACATCAATCAATAACTGAAATGCTCTGACACAAAACGGAAAAACATCTGGCATCCCCAGCTGCACGACTGTAACAAGCATTGCCTGCCTACCTGAGCATGAACATGTGTTTTGGGGGAGTGGCTTTGGAGGGAGGCCTAAGGGTCTGTGTCCACTAAAGACAGCGTCTATTTTCAATGGGAGCGCCGCGTTTTTACAACCTGGTAAAAACAGCAGCAGTGTGAGGGGTTTTTCTGGTCGCCGAGAGTTGAAAAATGTTAAACTTTGGGAAAAACGCTGCGCTCGTCACTGTCACATAGCAACGCAAGTAGCAACGGTTACTATTATGGAACCGAGCTTCGTCCAACCTCAGCTCTTGGACCAAACAGTGTTACTCGCCGAGATGTTTCCTCGCCCACAAAATCTCATGAACCCACATTCGGCGAGTCCGTCCTCTCTCTCTACCTGCTTCAGCCTTCTCTTCATTCAGAGCGAGGACTCTACTCTGTTGACATTTTTACATCCGGTAAAGTCAGGTAGAACTACTTGCAACATCACTTCCACGGATTTTAGGTATCATAGCAACCAAAAACGCCCGCTAGCGCTCCCTGCTGGGCGTTTTCAGAAGAGCAGCCGGTGTTTTCAGCTGGCAAAAACGCTTTGGTGGACACGGGTCCCTTAAGGGCGCGGGGGGAGTGGGGGGGGTATTTTTCAGGTTTTAGGTTCTGTCCGGCTGACACGTACGAGCCAAACAGGTGTGATAAAGTTGAGACGTTTTTGACACAAAAACAGATGAAGACTTAAAAGTGAGGATGAGGTGGAGCGCCCACAAACAAATGTCGTTAGTCCATAAAGCCAGAACTGACAGTATACATCCAAATGATTAGAAACATGAGGCACAATCCAAGGGATGAAACATTGGTGGTGCAGCCATAAACAAACATGAAATGACGAACACGCAGCGAGCCCAAATAAATACACCAGGAGGTCTGAACATAATGACACACAGGTGAAACCAGGTAGACAACCAGTGAGAACAAAACAGAAGTTAAACAAGACAACAACAAAATAAAACAGGAAAGGAGAGACACAAGACACCAACCTCCCAGAACCGTGACACGAGCTGTTACCTACCGCCAGCCCTGAGCTAGAAATTAAATGTTCTGTTTCTAATGAATGTAAAGGAAACTTTAAAACATGACAAGTGATGGAAGTAAAAGTCCTGCTTTCAAAATCTTAGTAAAAGAACTCAGTATGCAGAAAGGCCGTATTACTGTATTATGATTATTGATGATCACTTTAATGTTGCGGCTCGTTAATGTGGAGCTTATTTTAATGACTTTATATTCTTACTAGGTAGCTTCACCTGTAATAATACATCATACCTGATTTATATTTTGTGTTCATAATCTGAATCTGAAAATACAGCTTTAAAATAAATGTAATGAAGTAAAACATACATTTCAAACTGTAGTGAAGCAGCTTAATGTTGCCGTAGTCGCGTAAATGTATTTGTTCGTGGTGTTCCGCAGGGCTCCGTGTTCGGTCCCCTGTTGTTTTCTATCTACGTGACTCTGCTGGTCAGTGTTGGGCAGTAACGCGTTACTTTAATAATATTACTTTTCCCAGTAACTAAGTAGTGTAACTAATTACTTTTCTAAAATAGTAATATTATTACAGTTACTTATCCAAGTAACGCTGCGTTACTGAACGCACCATCCTTGACGTGAATCCACGACTGTGCGGCAGCTCAGCGGCTCTGGACCTTCTGTTGTTCATGTCTGCTGATAGCCAAAAACTAAATGAAGAAAGGAGAACGAGGGAGAGAGGCGTTCTTTTCACAGCTGGAAGCAGCAGCTGCCATTACTGTGTCACAGTCTAAGATGCAAAGAACATTGTCATCTATCGTAAACTCTGTGCGAGCAGCAAAAAGCTTTCAACCGAACGAACATTTAGGGAAAGCAGCGTTTCCCATAATTAGCGTAGGAGCATCTATTCCTGCAACACCTCCTGGTATGGCCCCCCCCCCCCCCCCCCCCCCCCCGCTTTCATTCTGCGGGAAACACTGGCAAGTAATATAGTAACGTAACTAGTTACTTTTATCACCCAGTAATAAGTAAAGTAATAATATTACTTTTTTAAGGAGTAATAAGAGACTAGTAATTGCCCAACACTGCTGCTGGTTCACCTCTCTTGTTGTGTGTGTAGGAGCGTACCCGGGCCGCCCTGTTGGACAGCCTCCATGATGAGCTGCAGAGACGCTCCCAGAGCATGCTGGGATTGACATCAGGTCTAGAGGAGGAGGGGCGAGGTGAGAACGGACACGCCCATGGAGGTCTGCTGGAGTCCATTAAGGTGTTTTATTTCATTTACCTCCATAATCCTTTATTTTATTTCTTCTGTACTACATAGATCCATCCATCGTCAACCGCTTATCCTGCGTACAGGGTCGCGGATACTACATATATACACACACACACACACACACACTATATATATATATATATATAGTGTATATATGCACACAGTATATAACTATATAAATAATATTTTTTTAATTAAATGACAGTATCATTTTGAATTTTCCTCCGCTAACAAACGCTGTCATCTCTCTCTCTCTCTCTTGCCGTCAGAGGGCGATGCGAGGACGGAGCGTCTCCATGGAGACCATGTCGCGGGGCGGGGCAGGTCTGCCGACCAGTCTGAGTGGGGGGGGTCTGGCTCACATTAACGCTGAGGTGAGCAGAGGTCAGAGGTCACCGAGGCGGCCCGTGTTTCCCGCCGTCCTGACTGTTTAACAGCCGCTGTGTCTGGTGTGTTTGTCGTCAGGGTAACGTGAAATCTCCTGTGAAGCGGCGATCAGGACTTTTTCCCCGTCTGCTGAGCGTCGACAGCCAAACGGAGAAGCAAAACCAGAGGAGGTAACGTTTTAATCCTGGCCATTAAACAGAATCCAACATGTGACTCAGACAGAAGGAAGGTGGATGCCCCCCCTTCTTTATGCTAAGCTAGGCTAATAACGTCATGTGATCCACTTGTCTTTGTGTTGTGGATGCGTCAGCCTCCTCAGTGAGCAGAGGAGCTTCGACAGCTGCCACCCGACACTGGAGGTGAGGTCAGAGCTGCCGTCCAATCCCAGCTCTCCAGAGGCGGGACAGCGGGACAGGTGTGTATGTGACTCCGTCAGAATCACATCAGTTTTAACGCGCCAACAAAGGCAGTGAAGAAGACGACTGTTAGCAAGGAAACATGGAAGTGAACAATAAAGTGCAAGTGCGACAACACAAGACACAGCAACATCACAGACCAGTCCAACAGAACGAAGCCCAGCTCGCCGTCCGTCCTGCAGCCTTTCAGTTCGTTTAGCTCACTCCAAGTCTGATATTTACTCTTGTGCAGTCTCTTTTTCGCTTCCTCTGACATCAGCTTCTGCCATGATATCCATACTGAGAATACCGAGCTCGCTTCTTCTTATAGTTTGCTTGCTGAAGGGTCTTGTGGCGTTACGCTCTTGTCCCAGAAAGGTTTCCCGCCTAGTATTCCAATGTTACGTAGGGCGCCATTCTCCCTGCTGCAAGTCAGTGTACCATCAAAATGATTTTTAAGCCGTTATTTTAAGATAAAATAACTTCATGTTGTTGCTTAATTATTATCAACCAACTGAAGGAAAGACAACAGATGCAAACACAAAACACAAATCCAGAAAACCTGCAGCAGGAAATAGGACAAAATCAGGAACATAAAACGTGATGCACACAAATCCAGAAACAGACATCTAGACCACAGACTGGTTAAAAGAACGTGAGGTAGCCGCCGTGAGGTCACCCGTTGGTTTGTGGACTAACGTTTTGAAGCCTCCAGTTTTGGCCGTCTACATCTTGGTTTTTTAGAAAACAGATGTGACCATATTTGCACAAGAGCGTGGAGCTAGCTAGCTTGGTTAGCAAGGCGAACGAGCATTTGCTGTCAGGGCCCCGAGGCTCTGGAACGACTCGCCTGAGGAAATTAGGCCGGCAGGGTCGGCTTCTTCCTTCAAATCTCTTTTAAAAACTTTTTACCGGACAGCAGATCCAGATTTTATCTGAGCTGCCACTCGTTTTACTTTTCCTGCCCAACCGTTCTTATCACTTTGTTTCCTTGTCTTATCTTCCTAATGTCCTACTGAACATATTCATTATACTCTATTGTGATCCTTGTTCTTATATTCAGTATTTTACCCCCCTGTGTCCACGTGGTTATTTGTTTTTGCATTGTATGTGTGATTTGTTGTGAAGCACTTTGTACTCTGTTTGATAAGTGCTGTATAAATAAAGCTTATTATATTATTATTAGAAGGTGCATCTGTAATTCACGTTAACTGTGATAGTAGCTGGGTTGCTAATTTTAGCTGGCGACAAATAGGCTTAAAACAAAACGTACTTACCTGAAAAATGACCAGCCGACTCCTAAAGCCCTGGAAATACTCGCTTTTTAACAATGCGCAGGCGTAGACAGGCGTAGACGGGCGTCAGCGACGCAAACAGCATAGTTCACACACTTGCCTGCGTCCTTTGCGTGTACCTGGAGGATTAAACCTGAATCTACTAGGGGGCGGACCAGGACCGGGTCATCCCTCGCCAACACCGGATCATCAACGTAAACAAACCAAACAGCAAACATAGATTTTAATGAGACGTCATAACGATCTTGGACTGGTTCCAGCTCCACATCAACACTGTAATCTGTATATTGTAAGCATTGTGATGCGGCATTCAGACCAAATGTGAATTTAATCCACGCAACGTTCTCCTCGCGGGGGTTTTATCGCTGGACAACTGCTGAATGTTCACACACAACGCGAATAAACACAACTCGCCATTACTACAGCTGTATGAACCCACAGTAAATAAACAGATCAAACTGATGCCGAAATAACGACAACATGATGCAGATTTGTTAAACATATGAATTGATGCTTTGTCAGGTCAGCAGGACAACAACTTCAAAAATGTTTGTTTTCTGAATGGAGTTTGGATCGATCAGGGCTACGCTACACTAACCTGTTCACAGTAAAGTACAACGACAGCTGGAATAAAGTTACAGACACATGTTTGTCCGGTTTTATATAAATATGAAGTAGGGCCGACCGACGGTAACAACAACACTGGAACCGGATGTGCTCAAAAGCTGCTAAGAAGCTCCAGTGAAGATAAATCAACTCAAATCAAAAATCAAATCGCGGCTGTACGCGTCTTTGCGTTGACTTTGTATGTAAACTCACCGCCCCGAACGCTCACTTCGCTTTTGGTCTGACAGCACTATAAGATTTCAGTTCTCTGTCGCACACACCTGCACTGTGCTGGGTTTCCTTCAAGAACTGGAAAAGTGGCCCCCCAGGTTCTCACTGTATAATTTGTACCCTGGATACAGGACCGTGTCGGCCAGCAGTAAGATGTTTTGTTTGTAATCTGCAGGATCCACATGAAGAAGGAGAGCAGTAAGATTTCCAGATCGACATCCAGCACCTGCAGCTTCAGCATCCCTGCAGACGACACACACCTGGTGAGACACGAACTAATCGCACAGCCTCCTAATACTTTTGCAGGAGAGTGATGTCCGGGGGGGCGGGACAGTTACTGAAGTAACAAAAGACTTAACTTTGCTGTTCGAACCCAATAATTATAATTTTATTGATTTATGAGATGAGATTTTACCTGAACAACATGTTAGCTGGGGCGGCGCGGCGGTGTCGTGGGTTCAAACCCCGGTTGCCCCGGCCTTTCTGTGTGGAGTTTGCATGTTCTCCCCGGGTGCTCCGGCTTCCTCCCACCGTCCAGAGACATGCATCCTAGATTAATTGGTGACCCTAAATTGTCCTTAGGTGTGAGCGTGAGTGGTTGTTTGTCTATGTGTGGCCCTGCGATGGACTGGCGTCCTGTCCAGGTTATACCCCGCCTTTCACACAATGTCAGCTGGGATTGGCTTCAGCCCCCCGCGACCCTGTATGCAGGATAAGCAGTTCGTGCTACAGAAGAAGTCATTTTTATAATCAACCAGAGCTCCACTGTGACGACGAGGATCTTGTGCACAGGTGTATTTCATTAGATATTGTTTAGCAATCGTTACAAAGGTTAATGTGTCATATTGACTGTGCGTGATTTTGTCCTAGTTTGTCCTGATGGTGGCGCTACAGGAAAGGTCACGGTGTCGGGAAAATCTAAAGGGGTCCATCCTCCGGAGAGCAGGAAGCAGCCGCCAGTGAAACTCAACACTTTCCTGTAGATTTTCACATTAAAAGCCTGCCAATAACTGGAATGCTGGAAGACTTTTAATGTGAAAAGTCTGATGGAAGTGTTTGCTTAACTTTAGTTTTATAATTATTGGTGAACAGGAGGGATTATTAAAAAGGCCACAGAGGGAAATAAAGTTTAATTTAAGTCAAGCTCAGTCTGTGGTGTCAGTAACCTGTCCTCTCTCTCTCTCTCTGTCTTTAGCTCGCCCAGGCTGCGACAGCAGAAGGTCAAAGTTCAACTCCGCTCATCGTCTGTCGCAGCCCCACAGGTTCAGTACAACTTCCTGCTGCACGCACACAATCAGAGGAAGTGATAAATCTGAATTACAGGACTCCTGATTTAAATGAAGGAACATACACCAGGTTCTGTGTTTAGTCTCAGAAAACAGCCACTAAAAATAATCACAGTGAGATTTTCCTCCAGACGGCAGGTCGGCGTGCTGTAAGTCAGTTTGGTAAAACACAAACATGGCGTATCCGTAATCCGTGACCTATCAGATTCTGCGTTAGACTGAACGCAGCTTCACCAGGTTCAACCCAACAAGAGACCAGATGAAGAGGTTATTTATGCTGAACTCTGGATCAATAACCCCAATATCAATACAGAGTGCGAGACGGGGAGGTCCGTGTCTTTTAAGCGTTCAGTAATGATTAAAAATGTAACGGCAGCATCGTCAGTATTTACTTTTTATTTGATATATTTTGCTGGACAGAAGTTAATTTGGGTGAAGCTGCTGCATCATGATCCAGGGGTCGGGTATCGAGGACCGGTTCCAAGTTAGACCCAGTGGACTGTGTGTTTGGATTCTGCTTCTGGGTTCCTAACTTTCCGCATATCTCAGCTCCTGCGAGCAGCGAGCATTTTACTAGAGCCCGACCAATTTAATTTATTCCTTCTAAATATTTTCTAACATCACCAACAGCAGGTAACGCTGCCTGTTGCTAAATTAGCCATAAAGCTAACTTAGTGTGTTTATCAGTGGAGGAGGCCGACATTAAAGAGCGATTAAACCGTAGTGTCTCTAGTTACAGTCAGACATGTCAGACATGATTAAACCAGGGCACTTAATAATAAGAATAAACGTGAGCTGAACAAGTATCTAAAGCCGTTTTTCCAGTACCAGCTCGCCTCGCCTCGGTTTGGCCGTCCTCCGTTTTCCATTGCAGAAAGGACCCCTCAATGTACCTCAGGCGCAGGCTTTACCCGCCGCCACTCGCGGCGCTCCTAAACTCATCACTTCTCTTAAAACTGTCAATATTCTAAATCTACACAGCTGATTTCTCACCTCTAAACTTCTCAGAAGTGGATTTAGTGATGAAATAACGTATGAAAACTGTAAAATATAAAACTTCCTGTTGCTGGACTCTGTCTGGTGCAGTGATGATGCAGTGAATAGTGACGATTCTCTCTGACCAATCAGCAGTCTGTCGTGTTTTCACACCACATTTTAGTATCGCCTCAGCTCGCTTGGAAAATCGACGGAGGTGATACAAAAAAAATTACCTGGATGCAGCTACAGGTGCAACATTTCTACAATGGAAAACCAAACAAAGGCGAGTCGGGCTGGTACCGTGGGGGGGAAAAGGGGCTCAACACACAGGTCCTCACTGTAGACGGTCACGTAGTATTAGATTAATTAAAGGGCAGCGTTTCCTCCTCGTCACTGTATCATAGAGCCAGAAAAATATATATATTATTATTAGCCTGTGTAGGAGAGTCCTGTTTATCATTATTATGAAAGCAATAACATGACATATGGTATTATTTTTAGTCGTAGTACTGTATTGGTATTTTTTCTAGTTTCTGTTTCGCTGGCCCCCACAATACAAACACTATTTGATGTTCATTAGTAGTAGTATTAGAGTCAGTAGTAGTAGTATCAAATATTTTAAAAAGGTGTTCTGTAGTTTTATACATTTGACTCTTATTTATCAGAACTTTTATATATTGTGTTGTACTTTGTTCAGTTTGCACAAGTTTGATACCCGGCCCTGCTTGATCCTGATGCAGATTTACAAAGTAAATCATATGTTGCCAGCATGTCAATATGACAGCATGCAGAGTTACTACATGGACTAGTTTGGAGTAAAAGTACACTAAGAGCGCAGAGACACTCGGGACAAAGTGCTGCTGTCGGCTAAAAGCTGCATCTGAATGTTGTCGATGAACCTTCAGCCACAACAGATCAATACAGACGGACTGTTACAGGAAACCAGTTCAAGGTTCAGCTTTATTGTCAGTGTTCAACACATCATGCACACTGAAACTCAGCTGCAGCTCCACACACACATTAACAGTCACTTAAGAGTGTCACTTAAGGAAGAAATAAAGGAAAACTAAAATAGTAATAGTGGGAAGATAATTAACAAATTAAATGATTTAATTAACACCTCTTAAGCTTCTGAGTTTCCTGTGACACGTTTGTTGCTTCCTCTGTTTCAGAGCTGAAAAATAAAAGCTCTCCCAGACCTAACCTCAAGTTTCGCTTTGACAAGTTGAGTCACTCTGCGGCGGTGAGTCTGTGTTCATACTGTGTGTCGTTTTACTGTACACAACAAAACAGGTCCCGACAGCCGGCCTGAACTCTTAACGTAGGTTAAAATAATGAGTTTAGTGTGAAAGTGTTCTGACTGTTCTCTCTGTCTGCAGCAGGGCCACTGACCTGAGGACGCAGCGGAGGTTTGTACAGCTTCATGTTTGTGTCCTGTGTGATGCTTTCAAAGTCTGTCTGAACATTAATAGAAGTATTAATACACTCCTCTGACTGCTCTCAGAGCAATGTGCTTTATGGGATTAACAAGCTTAACGGGCAGCGAGCCCTTTGCCAGCTATACACTGAACAAAATGATAAATGCAACACTTTTGTTTTTGCCCCCATTCATCATGAGCTGAACTCAAAGATCTAAGACTTTCTCTATGCACACAAAAGGCCTATTGCTCTCAAATATTGTTCACAAATCTGTCAAAATCTGTGAATCCATCCACCTCACAGGTGTGGCATTTCAAGATGCAGATCAGAAAGCATGGGTATTGCACAGGTGTGCCTTAGGCTGGCCACAATAAAAGGCCTTAGGCTGGCCTCAGTAAAAGGCCATAAAATGACCACAATAAAAAGCCTTAGACTGGCCACAATAAAAGGTCTTAGGCTGGCCTCAGTAAAAGGTCATAAAATTACCACAATAAAAGGCCTTAAGCTGGCCACAATAAAAGGTCTTAGGCTGGCCTCAGTAAAAGGCCTTAGGCTGGCCACAATAAAAGGCCTTAGGCTGGCCACAATAAAAGGCCTTAGGCTGGCCTCAGTAAAAGGCCATAAAATGACCACAATAAAAGGCCTTAGGCTGGCCACAATAAAAGGCCTTAAGCTGGCCAGCACTATGAACTGTGGGTAATTCCCTCAGGAAAGTCTGCAGAGGTGTGGACTTACAGAAAGTCTGCAGAGAGCCCCCACACACCGGACAATCTGAAAAGGGGGCAGCCTGAAAGTCCTCGCGGACTCACCAGGAATGCACCTCAGAGTCCGTGAAGGTGGAGGTTGGTGATCCAGCCCGGTGCTGTATGCAGCCTCAAAGGAACACCTGCAGTCACTGCTGGGGGCTAAAAAGCAAATGACAACACGTTTTTTCCATCAATATTTTTAGATCAGTCAGAGCCTTTTGTGGTAAATATGCACATACAGCATCTATCAGAGAAAGGAACTCAGGCAGCCTCCAGTTATTGGTCTGCAGAGTCACATCTCCTCTGCACCCCCCCCTCATTTATAACTTTAGGACCACCTACTTGATGAGCTCCAATGAAGAGCAGCAGCTTCCCTAAACTTTGTCTGATCCTGAGAACAAAGGGGGTCCGGTGTCTGTCAGGTGGTCTGGACGGGACCTAGTGCAGTAAGGTAACCCGTAATCATGCACTGAAGCCGGGACTCTGGATCAGACCAGGTCCCTGTTGGACTCCAGCTGCTGCTTCGCAACACATCTGGGTTACTGAGTCATGCTTCATGAAGCTGCTTTCATTCCCTCTGATAATAAAACTTCAGCTCGTCGCTCAGACAGAGACAAGTTTGTTGTTCCTCACTGTGGCCCTAAAATACTACGTGATGTACTATCTAGTACTGCACACCTTAAACCTGTACTTCACTGCTGGTGTCTGTCTCCTCGCCTTCTCCATTTAAATGTTACTTACTGGAAGAAAACTGAAAGCTGAGGAAAAAGCTTTGGTCAAACTTTTGATTTAGCTGTGCATCCTTTTAATATTTTAAATTTTTTTCTCTTCTCTCACTTTTCATTTTCCAGAACAATAAACATCAGCCTCAATGAGGAGGAGGAGGAAGAAGAGGAGGAGGAGGAGGAAGAAGAGGAGGAAGAAGAGAAAGAGGAGGAGGACATTAATGTGAAGACACTGATGGACACACACACACTGAGGCTGAAGCTTCAGCATTGGGCGTAATCTTCAGGTCACTCCGACAGTTTTACTCGTGAAAATGTGTTTCCTGTTCACGTTCAGCCGGTGAAACCAGTTGTAACAGAAAACACCTCTGATGATGTCATAGTGATGTCACCAGGGTAGGCGCAGGAGGCGGATCTGGTGTTCACCTGTGCACCGTGTCCTGCAGTATTTCGGTCCTCATATGTGAAGGACCTGGATCCAGGAGGATGCTGAGCAACTTCAGGGGCCCGTACCACGAAGCAGGTTCCACAAACCCAGGATACCTGTCCGTTATCAGGCTCAGCCGTCACTCGAGCTGGCCATCAGCTCACTAAGTGCACAATATTGACAAAATCTGATATTACGATATTCATTTTGATTTTCTTAAACATGTAAAAACACGTTGGTGGGTTTCAGAAACGTTCCCCCTTTGATCTCACACTCATCTTCTTTCTTTTCTTTTGCCCACTTTGCACTGGTTTACTACTTACACAACTATTTTAAGTATGTATCATATAATTATTTTAAGTCCAGACCCCCCTCACGATTTCCACCTATGCAACTAAAGCCCCTTCTCCACCGCACAGTACCAGCTCGACTCACCTCTGTTTGGGTTTCCACTGTAGAAATGTTGCACCTGTACCTGCTTCCAGGTACTTTTTTCGGATCACCTCCGTCGAGGTTCCATGCGAGCTGAGGGATACTAAAATGTGACGTGAAAACACAGCAGACTGCTGATTGGTCAGAGAGAGCAGGGCCAAACCGAGTCGAGGCGAGCTGGTACTGGAAAAACGGCATGAGCCACACAGCCAGCGGACGCCACAACTTTCTGCAACATTTTCAACGTGATAATGCGATAACAGTAATCAGTCAATATATTGTGCAACACAACCGTGAGCGCATTCATGTCAAAGATGACCAATCACAGACAAGCAAATGGTGATATGGGACAAACAGGAAGGTGAACTGATATTGCAGCTGAAAGGCAACAGTTACGTTTGTGTTCCATTAAATGAACGTGTTCTTACGGCGTGTTTGAACACCTGCTGCTCACCAGAGGATCTTCAGATCTAGAGCGATGTTAAAAACGTGGGATCCCACAGACAGAATGAACCGATGACACGCCAGACGGTTCAGTCTCAGGACCACACACTCGGCGTTAATATTAAAACGGTTTGGCGTTTCCGGGGGACTTGGGATCTCACAGACATGGAGGCAGACGGTCGTCGTCAGCTGGTCGACCTTGTGTGTTTTGGCAAAGAAAATCAAAAGAAGAGAATCAAACTGGATGAACTTGAGGCTGAGAAGAGGGAATCAGCGGCGAAGGCGAATCGGACCCAGAATCAGAAATACTATATTGATCCCTGATGGGAAATTCTTTAAAAAAGGGAGGGGAAGAGGATATTTGTTCTCTGCATTTAACCCATCCTATTTAAGAGCAGTAGGCTGCCATCGTACGGCGCCCGGGGAGCAGTTCGGGGTTCAGGGCCTTGCTCAGGGGGCCCATTCAGAATGGGTCGTGCTGGACTTGATCCAGCAACCCACCGGTTTCCAAACCAAGTCCTAACAGACCCAGCTAATGCCGCCCCAATCGGCCCCGTTATCCTCGATAGATTCATTTATTTCTCAGAAATGTTCCAAACATCGTTCTAAATTAACTTCACACAAACCAAAAATACATTCATGCCATAAAAAGAGCTCAGACTGCGGTGAAAGGCTGAATCTCAGATCCTGCTTCGTAGTACAGGCCCCTGGTCACATGACCTCTCCACCAGCATCTGGAACGGAACATCGGCTGGTTCCGTTTAGTGCAACAAGCCACAGGAACCTCCGCGTTTTCGTTCACATCCAACCCAAAACACCTGGTAACCACAGCAACGGCTCTGCGTTTAGAGTCTGGCCAAAGAGCTGTCTTAATTCTAACCCGGAACAGAACAGAACGCCATAGATAAGTTCAGTTTTCAAAATAAAACACCCCAAAAGTACACACCGTGTACCGCGAGTACGCGCTGCACGTCTCTAATTATGAACCATTTGATCAGCAGCTGCAGTGAAACTGTTTCAGTGTTAAGAACTGATGATGTCGTATTAGTCAGGTGGAGTCCAGGAAAATACTTTTCTAAATAACGATATTTATTCACCAGAGATTATGCATAACCTAATCTTTAATTTGTCATTTTAATACTTGAGGTGAACAGTTAATAAACATCTGCAGACATACCTGTCTGATTCATTTCCTTTTAACTGCTCCTTCTTTGTTGGTCTCTGAACTGAGATGTTATTACTGCAGCGTGTTTCTTCAACATTTTAGTGCTTTTTCAATTACAACCAATTACAAACATCACTGTGATTAATATTTATTTCTTACCCACATCATAAACACCCCCGGGATCAAACTTTTAATCAGGAGATTAAGTTTGTTTCTGCGTCTCCTCCAGGTTTCCGCTGCAGACGCTTCATGTCGCTGTGGATCTGACACTCATCAGTCAGCTTTTTACATTTAAACATCACAATCAGCCTGTTGGCCGAGACTTGTTCAGGCCTCACAGCTTGTGTCAGACCTGCAGCACGAAGATTTCCTCGAGTGTTGGCGTTACGAACAGGCTGGACCCGGAGCTGCTGTGAAAAAGGACTGTAAACCTGAAAAAAGAAGAAGCTTCACTGCCGTTTGATGCGAAACCAGATGTTTATTTTGCACTAAAGTGACTGAAAGCTGTGCGGATGTTAGTCATGAATATTAAATATACAACGTCTGACACGCCGAATGAACTCTAAATGTCTTGATTGCACTGAAAGCACAAATCTGTTCCTCCTCTTCTCGCTCTGACTTCAGGTGTAAATCTCTTTTCCCGTATAAAATAAAGGTTAAAGGGGGCGATGAGAGGGGAGGTGTTCAAGATGTCGCTGTGTGTCATTTCTGTGAAACTCTGATGTTACAAACTTTCTGCAGGACGACATGTTTGCACTTTGTTTCAGTGATGTTTGTAACCAGGAACCGATCAAATATTTCTCCACTAATGAATTCAAAATACATCTAAAAATCATTTAGTTTCTGATTGTCTTGATTTCCAGTCACATCTGATCCCTCATGAGCAACACCGTCTTCAGTCAGGTGACGTAGTATAAAGAGCGACAAAGTCCACGTGAGTAGGAGGGGCGGTGGATGAATGAGTCAAGTAAACTTTCACTCAGGAGGCTGAGGTTCAAGTCCCGTGTGGAAGAAAGTCAAACTTTTAAGGTGACCAAACGTTAAACGTCATATAAACTCAGGTCACGTGACGTACTTAAAGGAGCGATATGTAGTTTTCAGCAGTTTTTAACTTGCAACCAGGTGTGTGCTCGAACTCGTGAGAATCTCAGGTAAACTCCCACTGCACTGTTACAGTAATATTTTTATCAGCTGCTCGTTCAACTAGTCCATGCTCGTTACACGATAACGTCAACTGTAATGATAACGTGCTACATCGCCGTTAGCTCGCCTGTCTGCTTCTCAGTAACCAACGTTATTCTTTGTGTATCTTTCACCGGATGCTCAGCGATGTGAGCACAGCTACATGTTTTAGATGATAACCGTTTTGTTATCATCGTGAGCTGGACTGAATATTAAAATGAGACCGTGTCAGACTTTATAACAGTTAGACCACAGTAGGTAACGTTACTGTTAGTGGATAGCTCTTCCACTGTGTTGTTGTTCTGCGCTGTTATGTTGCAGTGCTGTATTTTATTTGGGTCACTAAAGTTAAAGAGACAGAGACAGTGGAGAAACTGTGTACCTGAGTGTCGGTAAAACGACAGTAAATCTAAAGTGAACACTAAGAAGCAAGCAGCGGCAGGTCTGAGCTAACGTAACGTTAGCTGGCTGCCCTGCCTTGCATCACTACAGGCTAGCATAAACAAATCGCTCTGCATTAGCTTTGTAGCGTTACATCCTTTCTGGCTGAAATAGGACCCAACAGGATGAAAGCCAACTCTGTCGGTTTTTTATATCCAAAAAAAAGTGGAGGTCACTCCGTGGCGCAAACCTTTCTGACCGCGTTTTCACCCGACCTCGATCTGATTCTCGTTTTGTCCTGGCAGGCTCCAGCACATAAAACTTAATTGTTGTTTTATATCCTTATCGTCACCCTTGGAGTCTGTGTTGTGCTGGGAGCCAGTAGTTTTAGGGTCTTAGCAGACTCCATGTTTTTAGCTGCGGTGTTGTTTCTGTGTGCACTGTTCAGATGCATCAGATAAGAGGCATTTTCTGGAGAATCCGACCGGGAGTCTTCACATATGAACAGGCATACTGGCCATCAGAGGTAACTAAAAAACCCGGCAAGTGGATCGTTTTTATGTGAGGTTACAAACCCTTCACGCAATAAAAAAGTGGTTCACTTTATTAACTACATATAGCGCCTTTAAGGTCGGGTACGCCTGCTGGTACTTCCCGACACTCACACGTCATTTTGGGGAGCGGTCATATATGTCGTTTTGGGAGACTTGACCCGTAGTTAACAGAAGTCGTAAAAGCCGATGGGTGCCGTCAATATGCCGAACACTGGGAGCTGGAAAAGAGCAAAGTAACAACACCTGAACAGCAAATTCATCAGATTCAACATTCTAGTGTTGAGGTTCTGGTTCTGGTGTTGGATCTGATCAAATGAGCTCAGTACCGGTGAGAAAACATGATGGAGGTCTGGGATGGCATGAAAACCATCACAGGCTGCAAGAAGAAGGGCAGTATTGCAGGAGAGGGGGATGCTGGGAGAGCAAACCAGCTAAACCTGTTTTTTAACAGGTTTGATACTCCAGCTCCCACAACCAGCGATGGCCCACTTCACACCCCCATGTCCATCACCACCTCAGACTGCAGACCACCCCCACCCTCCACACTCATGGACAGTTCAACACCCCTCCCCACCACCATCACCAAGGATCAGGTGAGCAGAGAGCTGAGGAGGCTCCGTCCAAGGAAAGCAGCGGGCCCGGACAGAGTGTGTCCAAGGATGCTTAAAGCCTGTTCTGCTGAACTGGGGGAGCCACTCCAGCATGTCCTCAACCTGAGCCTGCAGCTGGGGAAGCTGGGGAGGGTCCCAGTGCTCTGGAAGACTTCATGTCTCATGCCGGTTCCCAAGGGAGCCGGGTGACTTCAGACCAGTAGCACAGACATCACAAATCATGAAGACCTTCGAACTGCTGCTGCTACACGTCCTCAGACCCCAGGTTCACCATGCACAAGATCCACTGCAGTTTGGATACCAGGAGAAGGTGGGCGTGGAGGATGCCATCCTCTATCTGCTCCACAGGGCCTACTCACATCTGGACAAGGTGAGCGGCGCTGTGAGAATGGCGTTTTTTGATTTCTCCAGCGCCTTCGACACCATCTGGCCGCTCCTGCTGAGAGAAAAGCTGACAGAGATGAGGTTGGACCCACGTTTGGTGACATGGACTACCTCACAGAGAGACCACAGTACGTCAGACACTGTGGTCAGCAGCACCGGAGCACCACAGGGTACCGTGCTCTCTCCCGTCCTCTTCACCTTGCACACATCTGACTTCCAGTATAACACCGGGCTCTGCCACATGCAGAAATACTCAAGGATGGACAGGAGGGGGAGTAAAGGAGCCTGGTAGAGGACTTCATGAGGTGGTGCAGGACCAACCATCTGCAGCTGAACACCTCCAAGACCAAGGAGATGGTGGTGGACTTCAGAAGGAAGAAACCACATCTCCAGCCTGTGTCCATCGAGGGGGTCGATGTGGAGGTGGTCAGGACTTACAAATATCTGGGGCTGCAGCTGGATGACAAGCTGGACTAGACAGGAAATATGGACACTCTCCACAGGAAAGGGCAGAGCCGTCTGTACTTACTGAGAAGACTGGGGTCCTTCAACATCTGCAAAAAACTGCTGCAGATGTTTAACCAGTCTGTGGTGGCCAGCGTCCTCTTTTATGCTGTAGTTTGCTGGGAAGGAAGCAGCAAGAAGAGAGACGCCGGTCGACTGGACAGACTGGTGAGGAGAGCTGGCTCAGTGGTGGGCTCAGAGCTGGACTCTCTAGTGACAGTGGCAGAAAGAAGGACCCTGGACAAACTGCTGTCCATACTGAACAACGCCCGCCACCCTCTGCACAACACCTTCATCGGACAGAGTGTGTTCAGTGTCAGACTGCCGTCCAAGCCCAGCTCCACCAACAGACTTAAAAACTCTTTCGTCCCCCTGGCCATCAGACTGTACAACAGCTCCCAGGGAGGACAATAGACAAAAGAACAATTTCTACCTCCATCTGCACTCCATTTAGCACTGTTTACCGTTTTTGCACTGTTATACTGTGTTATAAGTTATTTTAATTTAAATTCTATTTTAATGTATGTTTCGTATGCTGCTGGATACTTTTCAATTCAATTCAATTCAATTTTATTTATATAGCGCCAAATCACAACAACAGTTATCTCACAGCGCTTTTCATAAAAGAGCAGGTCTAGACCGTACTCTGTGATGATATTTACAGAAGCCCAACAGTTCCCACCAAGAGCAGCACTAGGAGACAGAGGCAAGGAAAAACTTCCTTTAAGAGGCAGAAACCTCGAGCAGAACCATGACTCAGGGTGGGCGGCCATCTGCCTCCACCGGTTGGGGTGAGAGAGAGAGAGAGAGAGAGAGAAAAAGAGAGGGGTGTAAGGAGAGAGAGAGGGGAGGGAGGCAGCCTACACAATATACACACAGAGGTACAGACAGTGAAGGTGATGTTGCTATAGACTAAATGAAAAATGGTACAGATATTTATAGTAGTGTTAATGGTAACAATCGTAATGTTAATGATTATAATAACAATAGGACTAGCAACAATAGTCGTTGCAGCAGAGGGTGTCGAGCAGGAACACGGGGCAGCAGGTGACCTGCAACCACAGATCCAGACTCCACAGCTCCAGAGCCAGAAAACCTGCAGGAAGTGACAGGAGAGAGGAGAGAGACGAGAAAGCACAAGACTACCAGAAAGGGGAGAAGTTGTGTTAGTAACATGCAATAATGGGATGAGGTTGCATACAGAGGGAGAGAAAGTAGAGGAGAGAGGAGCTCAGTGCATCATGGGAAATCCCCCGGCAGTCTAGGCCTATAGCAGCATAACTAAGGGATGGTTCAGGACTACCTGAGCCAGCCCTAACTATAAGCTTTATCAAAGAGGAAAGTCTTAAGCCTACTCTTAAATGTGGAGATGGTGTCTGCCTCCTGAACCCAAACTGGAACCTGGTTCCACAGGAGAGGAGCTTGATAGCTGAACGCTCTGGCTCCTAGTCTACTTTTGGAGACTCTAGGAACCACAAGTAACCCTGCATTCTGGGAGCGCAGTGCTCTGGTGGGGTAGTAAGGTACTATGAGCTCTTTAAGATAAGATGGTGCCTGACCATTGAGAGCTTTGTAGGTAAGAAGAATGATTTTAAATTCTATTCTGGATTTTACTGGAAGCCAATGCAGAGAAGCTAAAACAGGAGAAATATGATCTCTTTTCCTGGTTCCTGTCAGAACACGTGCTGCAGAATTCTGGATCAGCTGAAGAGTCTTAACGGACTTTTTCGAGCAGCCTGATAATAAGGAATTGCAGTAATCCAGCCTAGAAGTAACAAATGCATGGACTAGTTTTTCTGCATCATTTTTAGACAGGATGTTCCTGATTTTCGCAATATTACGTAGGTGAAAAAAGGCGGTCCTTGAAATTTGCTTAATGTGAGACTTAAACGACATGTCCTGATCAAAGATAACTCCAAGATTCCTCACAGTGATGCTGGAGGCCAGGGCGATGCCATCCAGGGAAACTATATCTTTAGATAATGCGTCACAGAGGTGCTTAGGCCCCAGAGCAATAACTTCAGTTTTATCTGAGTTTAACATGAGAAAATTACAGGTCATCCAGGTTTTAACATCCTGAAAGCACATTTGAAGTTTAGCTAACTGATGAGTTTCATCTGGCTTGATCGATAGAAATAACTGAGTATCATCTGCATAACAATGAAAGCTTATGGAATGTTTCCTGATAATATTGCCTAAAGGAAGCATATATAAAGTGA